CACTAGTTGAGTTGGAAGAGTTGAAGAAATAACTTGATGATCTGAGGATGAAAGGTTTCATCTGACCGAGTGTGTTACCGTGGGGCGCACCGGTCTTATTCGCTAAGAAGAAAGATGGTTCTTTGAGGTTGTGCATTGATTATCGGAAGTTGAATCATGCCACCATCAAGAACAAATATCCTTTACCAAGGATAGATGATTTATTTGATCAGTTGAGGGGAGCCAGTTGCTTATCGAAAATTAACTTGAGGTCTGGCTATTATCAGTTGCGGATTAGGGATGAGGATATCCCGAAGACAGCGTTCCGTACACAGTATAGACACTATGAGTTCCTTGTTATGCCTTTCGGCTTGACTAATGCGCCAGCGGCATTCATGGACTTGATGAACCGCGTCTTTCATGATTACTTGGACCAGTTTGTGGTAGTTTTCGTGGATGACATTCTTGTGTACTCACGGACTCGGGAGGAGCACGAGGTCCATTTGAGTGTTGTATTATAGATTTTGCGAGAACACCAATTGTATGCCAAATATGAGAAGTGTGAGTTTTGGCTACAAGAAGTGAAGTTTTTGGGATACATTGTTTCAGAAGGTGGAGTGTCAGTTGATCCATCAAAGATAGAATCTGTTTTGAATTGGGAGCAACCCAAGAATGTTTTTGAGATCCGGAATTTCCTTGGCCTAGCGGGTTACTATCGGAGATTTGTGAAAGATTTCTCCCGTTTGGCAGCGTCTAAGACCCGTTTGACCCGGAAAGGGATCAAGTTTGTATGGAATGAAGCCTGTGAGTCATCTTTTTAGGAATTGAAGACAAGGTTGACTACGGCTCCAATGTTGGTGATACCTGAGCGTGGCCTGGGTTATGTGATCTATTATGATGCTTTACGTGATGGGTTTGGATGCGTGCTGATACAGGATGGTAGAGTAGTGACTTATGGGTCTCGACAGTTAAAGACTCATGAGTACAACTACCCTACTCATGATCTGGAGTTAGAGGTAGTCGTGTTTGCCTTGAAGTGTTGGAGACACTACTTATATGGTGAAAGGTTTGAAGTGTTTTCAGACCACAAGAGTCTCAAGTACCTTTTCTCCCAAAAGGACTTGAACAACAGACAGAGACGATGGGTTGAATTCTTGGAAGATTACAATTTTGATTTGCAGTATCATCCAGGCAAGGCAAATGTGGTAGCAGATGCCTTAAGCCGAAAATCTCATGGAATTTTGGCCGGATTAGCTATTCGGAAATGGAAGATGCTTAATGATCTGGCGGAGATGGGATTGTACTGTGTTGATGATGATGGTTGCGGTGAATCGGCGTTCTTATTTAGTCTTATGGCTTAGCTTACTCTTGTTGTAAGAGTGATTGAGTCACAGAGACAAGACTCAGATTTAGAAGCCATCTACGCTTTAATCTCCAGTGGTGAGACAGTGAAAGATTGGACCTTGCATGCAGATGGGGGTCTACGGTTCAGGGGTTTGTTGGTGGTTCCCATAGCTTATCGAGAGGACATCTTACGGGAGTTTCACACTTCTCGCTTTACAGTTCATCCAGGTGGTACTAAGATATATCACAATTTGAGAAGTCAGTATTGGTGGAACGGGATGAAGAAGGATGTTGCACAATTTGTGGCAAAGTGCCTTACCTGTCAACAGGTGAAGGCTGAGCATCAGAGACCGACATGTTTGTTGCAACCATTGCCTGTAACGCAATGGAAATGGGAACATATCGCTATGGATTTTGTGACAGGTCTTCCAAGGTCACGGAGAGGCAACGAGGACTTATGGGTCATCATTGATAGATTGACCAAGACGGCTCACTTTTTGCCTGTTAAGGAAACAGATGATGTAGAGGCACTTGGTAATCTTTACGTGAAGGAGCTTATAAGGTTACCTAGAGTTCCAGTAACCATTGTCTCAAAAAGGGATGCCAAGTTCACTTCGAAGTTCTGGGAGGGACTTCAAGAAGCGTTTGGTTCAGCATTGCATCTTAGTACGGTATTCCATCCATAGACAGACGGCCAGTCGGAGTTAACTATCCAGATCTTGAAAGATATGCTTCGGGCATGTGTGCTTGACTTAGGTGGTAGTTGGGAAGATCATCTACCGCTTATTGAGTTTGCCTACAACAACAGTTATCAGGCGAGCATCGAGATAGCTCCATTTAAGGCTTTGTACGGAAGACCTTAAAGGTCTCCAGTTTGTTGGACTGAGGTGGGCGAGATAGCCGCCTTAGGACCCAATATTGTACACGAGACTACCGAAAAGATTAAGTTGATTAGACAGAGATTGCTCATAGCTTAGAGCCGACAAAAGAACTATGCAGATAAGCAGAGACAACCGCTATCTTTTGAGGTAGGAGACCATGTTTTTCTGAGGGTTTCTCCACGGAAGGGTTTGATAAGGTTCGGGAAGAGTGGCAAGTTGTCGCCACGATTCATTGAACCGTTTGAGGTTTTGAACCGTGTAGGAGAAGTTGCCTACAGACTTACTTTGCCACCACAGATGGACAGGGTTCACAATGTTCTTCATGTGTCAATGCTACGGAAGTACGAACCAGATCCATCTCACATTTTGAGTTAGGTTGATGTGGACATTGATGAAGATGTCTCTTATGAAGAGGGACCAGTGCAGATCCTTGACACATGACAAAAGATGTTAATGGGCAAGACGATGCAGTTAGTAAAAGTTCTTTGGAGACACCACGGAGTCGAGGAGGCTACTTGGGAGCTTGAACAGCAGGTTCGCACCAGGTACTCAGAGTTGTTTTCTTCCCCAGGTATGGCTTGATTTCGGGGATGAAATCCTTTTAAATTGAGGAGATTGTGATGTTTTCAATTTTCAGCATTTTTCATTTTTCTGGAATTTCGTCGCTATGAGGGCATTTCTGTTTTTTCACGTTTTCGTACTGGATTTTAGTTAGGTCCATTTGCATTTTGTGCATTTTAATTTGTGTGATTCATATAGTATTTGTGTGGTGGTGCATTATATATAAAAGTTGTGGTGTAGAATTAAAAGTAAAAGAAAAAGGAAAAGTCAAAAAAAAAAAAAAAAATACATGGTGGTGGGACCTACCACCCACTAACTTGGTGGTCTAGAGACCACACTTGGTCTCTAATTTTCCTCTTTCCCGTAAGTCTTTCTCTCTTCTCATTTCCTTGCAATTTTTTTTCCATTCTCACAAGCAAACTTTGAATCTTGATTTCTCTCTCAATACTTGGAAATTTTGGGTGCCGTTTGAGGCAAAACGAAGAGCACGACGAGCTCTATGCGTGAATAGCAACAATTTCAAATTTGGTGCTCCCTTTGGATTTTGAAATTGGAGACCCATTTTAAGGGTTTTGTATCAAACTTGAGGTAGGGGTTCTTAATTCATGTTATCTTGTTCCTTAGTGAATTATATCTCCTAAAATGTTGCAAGCATGCTTAGTTTGAATGTTAACTATTTTAAAAATCTTCTAAGTGTTGTTTAGAAAATATATGATTATGTATATGAGTTGTTTGGTGTGAAAAGCATGCTTAGATGTTGTTTGGTTATGTGTAATGTGTTGATAAATTACTTGAGATGATGATAATGGAGTATACTTAATTGTATAGTGTAATTTCTCTAAATTCTATGACATTGAAAGCATGGGACATACTCATGTGCATTATCAATGGATTCTCATGAAGGAAATTGTTTTGAAATGGAAATGGGAATTTTAGGGAAAATGTTTTTGATGAATTGGTTTTGTGAAATTCGAGTCACCGCAGGGGTACCAAAGGGGCAGGTGTACCAAAGGGCCGGAGGGTTAATATAGCCTAGAGGGAACTAGGGAGATTGCCCTGGCGTGGTTGAGCTAGCTGGGTCCAAAATGACGCCGCAGGGGTACCAAGGGTCAAGGACACTAGCCAATCCTTCTCTCGTGTCGCTGCGGGGTCACCAAAGGGCAGGTTATATTAACCGTTTGAAAGTGATGGTTTTAGAATGAAAATGGGGAGTGACATTGGTATGCATTGCATTTCATTGCATTGCATTGGTTATATTGAATTTGTTATTATGTTGTGTATTCCCGACATGATATGACCCCATTTCCCATTGCTCTATTCTTTGTATGGATTCACGGGGACACAAGAGACGTGTCTTAAGTGCCACCTGCTGACCTTTTGCTCACCCCATTATATTTATTATTTTTCAGGTCATGGAAATGAATTGGCGGATGATAATCCACCGCAAGCTTGAAAGTTGTTAGAAGACCATTTTTACTATTTTGTACTTAGGATATTCTATGTATACTTATTGTTTTGAGATTGTAACTAAGTTGACATACATGGCCTTGTAATTCAAGCATGAGCTTTAACTTTTATTTGATGTAAATGGAATTAATGTACTCATTGTGAATATCTCCATGAAGTTGTAGCAAGTGATGTTGTAAGATGATTAATTGATGGCCTATTAGTTTACGTTTGTTGAATGTCTCATATTTGATGGTTTTGTCCAGGTTTGGGTTGTTTTAAAAGTTCCCTCAGCTATATTAGTTCATTTCTAAGCATAGCAGGTCAGTTTCAGGATACAGGGCTCGAAGAAGCCGCTTCGGTCGACCGAAATGGTGTATCGGTTGACCGAACTCCTCTTGTTGACCCTTGGGATCTCTTATTTCGGTCGACCGAAATAAGGTTCGGTCGACCGAACCATCCTCATGCTCATAGTACTTCACATTCGGTCGACCGATGGAGGGTTTCGGTCGATCGGTTCTTGAAGGTCTGCTTCGGCCGATCGAAGCTCCACTTCGGTTGACCGAAGTGCACCTGCTCTGGGGTTCTTTGCTCTTTCCTCTTTGGTATCCTTGTTGTAACCTCTGGGATTCGTGTTGAAACCATGTGACAACATAGAGATGATCTTAAGGGTGATGTTTCGAAGCTTGAAATGATGGGTTTGACATAAATGACCTCAGGTTCGAGTAAGGACCAGGCTAACAGTTCAGACCCCCGGGTTCGGGTCGTTACATATATACGGAGTATATCCTAGTCTAAATGATCATCTTCAACTACTTCAAAACTAACACTAACATCATTTACTGAACCATCATCTGGCAAATAAAAAAAGCACATAGAAATTTAAATTTACACTGCGCAGAAATATTTTATAGTAATTTTATTACACTTTCTAGGATATAAAGATGGTATTAGTATTTACCCTCAACCTAAAGCTTTTCCAAAGAAAAAGAAAAAGGACAAACAAAAAAGGAAAAGAAGAAGTAGAGTTAATGGTTCGGTCACGTGGTGATCCGACCCGTTGAGATGCGGTACATGTTCAACCTGCCACATCTGGGTTAATATTTCGTTCCATCCGTACTTGACGAAATATGCTGTCCATGACTTTTTGCTTGTAGTTTTTTAGCTTATTATGCTTGTGCTCAGTCTTAGGGACACGTTCCTGAAATCCAAAGAAATAATAAATGTAAGAGTAGGAGATCAAGCTCAACAATTTAGATTTTAAGAAATATTGAAGTGATAACCAAGGGTGTGTTTAGTAACTCAAAACATTTTTTGTTTTCTGTTGTCAATCCTTAAAAAAGAAAAACAAACACAAACATCATGTTTAGTAATTTGTTTTTGTTTCCTCTTAATGAAAACATTTTTCATTTTTATGAAAGAAAGAGAAAACATCAAAATGATGTTTCCTGTGTTTTTTCACTGTAACAGAGAAAACGTTTTCACCATTGTTTCCCTCATTTTTTACACAATAACTGACATTACTTTTCCATTAATACACAACCACTGACATTACTCCATTAGTACTTTTATATTCTATATATATACATTAAACAAAATCAATTTTTATATTCTATATATATACATAATACAACTGTACGCCCTATATATATATATATATATATATATATATATATATATATATATATTCCTTTTTCTAATTGTTATACATGTATTGGTTGTGGTTTGTTTTCAGATTTTTTGTAATATACATGTATATATATAATCTATTTTTATATTCTATATATATACATTATACAATTATACGCTTATCATGCCCTATATATATATATATATATATTCCTTTTTAGATTATATCTTTTATTGTGATTGAAAGTTAGATTTTGATAGATGGATGAAAAAATAAATTAAAAAAAGTCTCCAAAAAAAAGTAAATTAAAAAAATCTCCAAAAAAAAGTAAAAATTTGTAACAAATGTTTTACCAAACACTGTTTTTTGTTTTTTGTTATTAAAATTGTGGCAACATCAAAGGTTACTAAACGTTATTTTTGCTTTCTATTTTTACTTCGAAAAACAAAATTATGTTTTTGTTTCTTTGCGACTGCAAAAACAGAAAACGAAAACATTACTAAACGAACCCCAAGTTAAAAATAAAAGAAAACAAGTAGAGTGGAAGGTCCAACAAGGATTTAAACAAGATAAAATTACCACTATGTCCTACTTTTTCTTATAAATGACAAATAAGTCCTATAAGTTCTACTTTTAAAATTGTTTTTCCATTTAGGTTATATATCACTCAACTTTGCACTCATACCTTTACCAAAATAGATCTGAAATTATAATTTCTATCCAAAAAAAATGATATGGAAGCCAAAATTTTCTATTTGACTATTTAAACATTTCTACAAATTTTCTATTACTTTTATGTTTTTATTTTCAAAATAATTAGTCTAATTCTTAAGAGGATAAAATTTTATTAAACTCAATAAAAAGAAATTATAATATCTTATTAATTTTTAATTTTTGAATATTATAAATGATTTTCATAAATTCTACAAAAGTTTTGTAATTCAACTATAACTAAATGTATTATAATTTTAATTGATAATATAATATATATTAATCAATTAAAACATAAAAGAACACTTATCAAAAAAAAAAAAAAAAAAAATTCAAACATAAAAGAACATATAGAAACAACAAAACATGTAAAAAAAAAGGAAAATGAAAAAAATAAAATAAAAGAGGAGAAGAAGGAAAAGGAAAAAAAAAAAAAAAAAGAGTACTGCACATCAATTTTAGAATAGAACCTATAATTGCATAACTTTATTTCTATTCGGTAAGGGTATAAGTAGAAAATTGAGTGGTTTAAAACTTCAATGGAAAATGATATCAAGAGTAAGAGATATTGGTCGTATAAAAAATTTAAGAACTTATTTGTCTTTTTAGAAGAAAAACTAGGACTTTGTAGTTTGTAGTAATTTTCTCTTTAAATAACCTAAGAGTTGACTACAATAAAAAATAACAACTAAAATGGAGAACAAGTAATGTTCTAACTAAAGCCATAAAATATTGTATGTCATATGATAGATGAATCATGCAAGTTCTTTATTTTGCAGAAAAGATTAGACTTCCGATTTTTTTTTTCAAAATTGATTTTTTGTTTCAGAAGTTACTGAATTCGATGCTTATGTTGCGGATACGAGATTATGAAGATAAATGAGTGGTGTGACTAGAAGAGTCAGGGTCACAATCAAAGTGAGAAAAATTAGGGATGGCAAGAGTACTTAGATGGGTTGGACACATACATCAGATACCTAATGATGCGCCAATTAAACAAGTGTAATACTAGTTGTCACAGAAAGTAAGAGAAGGAGAAGGAAAAGGAAAACAAAAACAACATGGGATAAGATTCTTAAAAATGACTTCAAAAGGTTAAATACAGTCTACAATATAACATTTAGTAAAAAAAAAAAAAAAAAAATGGGTAGAGACAGAAAAAATTTGTGACCGTACCTACCCATACAGAATTAAGGCAAGTATGATGATGAACAACTTACTGAATTTGATGTTATATTAAACCGCAACTTCAAATTTTCTTCCTTGGAGTCGAAAAATTCCAAGAGCGCACCCTCAAGGTCCTCAACCGAGTATCTGATGTAGGTTTCAGAGTGTTTTTCACTCTCTACATGGCTCCTGAAAAGAACAAGAAATGACCTATAAGCTGGGATCAACTCTTCCGATATCGACATACGAAGCTCTTCCCGAAGCTGCATATCCGGTATCAAACACGTTGCTTGAGTCCTGGTAGCCTCCTCAAACATGGCATTGAAGGTCTTAAACTTTTCTCTGAAAAAGCTCCTAGTCCTAGACACCCCAGAAGAGAAGCTCCTACCGGTACCTAATCCCTTGTATTTCAAACAGGACAAAATCTCCGACCAGGTAGCACCACTATAGCTACTCTGTGCCTGTTGGACCTTTCCGATTAATTTCCTTGCGTAATCATCACCAATCATCATCCGCAGTTCTGGACAATCTTTGATACTCTGAACAATGTAGTGAACATTGTTCATCATGAACAAATGACCCAAGGTGTCATCTTCGTAGAGTTTGGACTTGAATTCCAATTTGCAAACTAGAATCTCAATGATCCAAATTAAATGGAGCTCCAATGGAGTACTTTGCCCTTCAAATGCCGTGAAGTCCATATCAGGAATCATCTGATCATCAGAATATATCAAATTTGTTGATGGTTTGGATACAATTAATGAAGTTAATGACTCCTTGTAATCAGAGATCTGAATGGTATATCTCATCACATACTTAGTCAAGCTGTGAATATCCCCACCCGGATCCAAGAATGTTGATAGCTCATGACACACTGCATTCTCCAATTGCGCTAGAATCCCTCTGATTGCCTCCGCGAGCTGAGAAAGTATCTCAAAAGCTCGGATTCGAATAGGTTCCCCTGTTTTCAACTGAAAGAGAGTGTTCACATCTGGCAAAAGCTCCGACAAGGCCTTGTGGATGTCTAAGAATTTGAACAGCTTCTCTGGCGAAGGACGACTAGTACTTATGGCTTCCACAAAGTCAAATACCTGAATTGCCACATCTTTAACTGTTTCTATAAAACATAAATCAGTTCCATGAGCCCCAAAGATTTGTTCAGTGAGTTGTTTCTCTTTCGGAAAGAGAATTCTTACACAAACCCTCGCCGCACGTATCCACTGTCTGATCTTCACCCCCAACAAGTCCCACTCTATCCTCCGGACGTCTTCAGTGCTTAATTTTTCAACGCCTAGGCATCGAAAACGTGCGTCCAGTATACCCTTCCATACTCTAGTGTAAACATTAACACGCTGAACAGATTTCATTCTTCGGGCAACACTTTGGAGATAACTGATTTCTTCCTCAACAAGTGGAATATCGTAGTCTAAATAATCATCTTCAAGTAATTCATAGCTAATGCTATCAGTTATTGAACTAGAACAAATTGAACACATTGGACTACTACGGCACATCTCAATCAACATGTTGACAAACTGCTGTTCGAGCTGAGCCATGGCTATCTCCATCACACTGTTGGCCTTGCTCTTGTCATCATCGGACATGGTGGTCAGTTCCATCCGGCGGTGGGTCTCATCAACGGCATGAAAGTACTGATTTATCTCATTGCTATCTCCTCTGTCAAAGATCATTTTTCCTCTCGCTGCACTTGCATCCCCTTGCAAAATTATTTTCACAGCCGATTCATATGCAACCTCAACATTTTCTGGAGTCCCCATTATAGGACAAGCTTCAACTATAAGTTCCAATTCATCAAATTATTAGAACTCAGAGAACTGGTAATGGATCTGTAGTTATCATGTAATGTTTGTGCCTTTATATATATATGCCTATGTGTGCGGTGTGTATTAAAAGAAAAAAAAAAAAAAGAAAGAGAAAAAGAAATTAGAAAAAGAGAGGTGGGACCCACGTCCCTTTTAAATGAATTAAGAGACCAAGTTAGTCTCTGTTCTCTTTCTCTCTCTTTCTCCCGACTGCTGCTCTCGGCTCCTTCTCTTTTTCTTTTTTCTTTTTTTTTCACTTCAAGCTTTAACCCTTGATTACTCTCTCAATCCTTGCCGGATTTAGGTGCCGTTTGAGACAAAACGACGAGTGTGACGAGCTCTACGTTCTAGTACCAGCAATTCCAGTTTTGCTACCTTCCTTGGAGCTCGAATTTGAGGACCCATTTTCTAGGGTTTTGGTGCAATCTTGAAGTAGGGGCATCTTAATCCACTCTCTTCTTGTTCCATTGTGAGTTATGCTCTTTTGTTGTGCTAGACATGCTAAATTTGAGAATTAATTGCTTCAATGAGGTGTAAGTGATGTTTAAAAAAAATTCATGTCTTAGGGTTATGACTTGTCTATGTGAAAAACATGTATAGATGATGGCTTTGTGGTGTTTTTTGTGAATTACACCTCTTTTATGTGCTAACATGCTTTACTTGGGGATTAATTGTGTTAATGATTATTTTAATGTTGTCTAGAGAAATGTATGTTTATGCACATGTGATGTATTATGTGAAAAGCTTGCCTATGTGTTGAGTTTATGTCCACCATGTGTAAACTTGCTGAAAGTGATGTATGAGACCATGCTTAATTGTATTGTGCCAAAATTTCACATTGTCATGATATTGAGATTATATGTACATTCTTGGACATGTCGTTGGGATGCATGAAATGGGAGAATTTGTCTTGAAATGAAAATGAGGAATTTTTGGGAGATGATAGTTTTTGTGAAATGGTTTTGATAAACCCGGTCGCTGCGGGGTTACCAACGGGCCGGAGGTTAATATAGCCTAGAGGGGACTAGGGAGTCGCCCTAGTGTGGTTGAGCTAGCTGGGCCCCATAATGACGCCGCGGGGTTACCAAGGGTCAGGGACACTAGCCAATCCTCCTCTCGTATCGCGGCGGGGTTACCAAAGGGCGGACTGTATTAACGTTTGAAAGTGATGGTTTTGAGAATGAAAATAGGGAGTGTCATTGACATGCATTGTATTTCATTTCATTGCATTGCATTGTTTATACTTGGAATTGACTTGTATGTTGTATTTGATCCCCTACGTTGTATGATCCCTATCTCCCATTGGCCTATGCTTTGCTTGAATTCACAAGAACACAAGATTTGTGTCTTAAATGTCACCTACTGAGCATATAGCTCACCTTACTATTTATACATTTTTTTCAAATCTTGGAAAAGAACCGGTGGACGACAACCCACCTCAAGCTTGAGCGATACTAGAAGCTCACTTTTGTGTCTTTTGTATATCTCCCATTATTTTTGCAAAGCATTAAAAGTGTGAAGGTGTATATGTATATTTTGCAAAAACTTTGTCATGTAATGTAATTAAGGTATTTGATGATATTTTGGATGTGAATTTGATAACATGTAAACCTTATTGATGAATGGGGAGAGTAATACTAGTTTGAAGTATTATTGATGTCATTTGATTGTGTATCATCATCTACTATTGTCGTGAATTCGGAATTTGAGCCATGACAGGTTAAAAATGCAATTAAACAGGTTGTGATAGGCCTATTTTTAGAGGAAGTTATGCCGAATTTTTTGTAAAATTGTTGGCATCAGCTAGGTCGTTACATATCAACTATGGTATTCTCTTCTTGGTCAGGGGGCAAAGATTGGAGAGAACTTGCGGAAAGTGAGGCGAAGAAGAGAATAGTCAACTAAAAAATAAAAAATGGAACAAGTTGGTTTCCTCATTTGACTGTGCTTTGTTTTTCTTATTTTTTAATATCAAATAAAAAAGTAAATACCAACTCTCTCAATAAAATATTCCAAAAGATGAATTCATGGTTAACCAGCTAAAATGTGGAAGCAAAATAATATTCAGTCTCCTGATCTCAATCTATAAACAAATATCAATAACTGTAAGAGCTGTATAGAGATTGAAGTAAAAGTTGGAAACATTTCCACTCACAATGCATTCTCCCAGGCTCGGTTCCTTCTCGAGCTCTTCCATTAGATTTTCAGTACTGCATAAAATTATTTCATTAGATTTTCCATTAGATTCCATTAGATCACTAGTCATGGTCTATGACAGCCTCACTGGCAATGCAGAACCATAGATCAGTTATTATTTCCTAGAATAGGTAGCAGGAAGAAATGGTATAAAAAAAATATGACTACTACATACAACAAATTTTATAAATTCCTTTAAGCACTCAAATATTACCAGAAAATGAAACAAAGTAACAGGGGAAAGCTAATATGAATTCAACCTAGAATTTGGTTAAGCAAATGGTTTCTAATGGAACAAGACTGGGGAGGTAAATAGGTAATACTAGTGAAAGGAGACCTCTATAGCAAAATCTACCAGCACACATAATGATTGAATAAAATTGTACAAAATCCTCAATAAATTTCAATATTGATGCAACAGATACAGGTAGTACCTGTACGTGGTTCAAAGGACACAGACATCATAACAATAATTTTTTTTAAAAAGGAACAACAATTATATCGATCTTATGTCAATTTGCTCAAACAATGGAACAATTAACATTCTAAAACAGTCAATTTTTTAACATATGCTTACCTGTCTCCCTGATAAACTCAGGCTTAAAGCCAAACCCCCAATGGGCCCTTTTCCCAATCATATTGCGCCACCTGTTTACAATTAGTTTTAAATTAAATTGGGCATTGCCCATCAATTTTCGGATATAACCCGTCTTTTTCTCTCTCATCTCTCAAAAAATCCGCAGGCACAGCAATTACAAACCCACAGCCAACACCAATTACAAACCCACTTGCCCACCATCGCCCCCTTCATTCATGGAAACAAAATAATCTGTATTTGGTTGCTGAGTAAGTGCCTCATTCATGGAAACAAAATAATCTGTATTTGGTTTGCAGAGGTGGAACGTTGGGGGAGCGGAGGAGGGAGAGAGTGTAGTCGGTGATGGATAGGGGTTGGGTGGGCGGAGAGGGGCTGCAGATCAGAGAGAGAGAGGGGGAAAGGGCTGCAGATCAGAGGAGGAAGAAGGTGCAAATTAGATGAGAAGGAAAAGAAAAAGAAAAAATAAAAAGACGGGTTATACCCGGAAATTGATGAGCAATGCCCAATTGAATTAAAAAAACGGGTCATCTAATCTGGGTTGGACCCAAGTATGAATATGATCGAGCCGTCTGGTCAAAACTTTGAGACACTGCGTGTTTGTCATTGACCGGGATAGTTTTGACTTTTGAGGCTATTTGGGCTGGGAAGTTGTGTAGGGTAGGGTTTCAATATTTTTAGCGAGACCTTTGCCACCAAGCATCGGAACATTTTTATGTAAATTGGTAACAATATCATAAAATATTCTGTTTAATTTGACTGTCGCACTCTATATCATTTTTTATTTTTAATTTATTTATAAGTTTAATTTGTAATTTATTATTTTTTCTATTAAAAAAATAAAATTTCAGATTTTGACTTTTTTTCTCTTTGAAAACTAAATTTTGTTTTTTAGTTAATATACTTTTCAATACATATTTTATGGAATTTCAAACTTTGAAATTAGATATAAAAATTGATGTATTTAATAAATCATGTGATATATCAATAAATGTATTACGTATTTAAGAAAATGTGAATTACAGTGAAATACACTTTCAAATTTAGGTTAAGTAAAAATCTAATTGATATTTTTGTCAAATATAAATTGATAAATTTGTGCTCTTATATATAAATCCACAGTTTAGCGACTATCCAAAATACACAGTTTATTGACCTTAAAGGATCTCTGGTAAATCAAAATAATCAAAAATAAAGACAAATGTCCATTATTCCCTCAAGATTAAGAATTATTCACTATAGCACTCGTAAATAAAAATTGTTGTAACGGTTATCGTAATACATATCGTTTTGAATCCTCCACTTGATGACCGTGACAAGCCACCATATAGAAACCAACATTTACATTTGTTTAGATAGAATGCTCAATTCTACACTGAATATGAACAATGTATCTGATATGTAAGCTGATGATTTATATCTCATATTCTACTCCCTCAATGCATCTAAATCATCCTAACATAATGAGTGCACACTTAATTCATATACAAGCATTCACGGTATTCACTGCTACACAATATCAGATTTATTTAAATATTAAGCACTATCCATAAGCTGACTTTGCAGAGCATACAATCCCAACAATACGATCGTTTGGAGCAAATTTTGCATCTTCCATAAGACACGGGTCACACGACCCATCCTGTTTGAATCTGCTATGGGCATCATCCATGTCAGATGAACTTTTCCAATTAGTTTATTTGCAAAATCATCGCCAATAATCATCCTCAATTTTGGACAGTCTCTGATTCTCGGGGCAATGTAATGGACATTGTTCATCATGAACAAATGAGCATCTTCATAGTTCACGGACTTGACATTCAATTTGCATACTAAAATCTCAATAATCCAAATTAAATGGAGTGTCAATGGAGTTTGTCCCTCGACTTCTATAAATTCCATATCAATAATCGTTTGATCATCATCGGAATATTTCAAAACTTTTGATGGCTTAGATACAATCAATGAAGTTAAGGATTGCTTGTAATCAGAGATGCGAGTAATATAGTCCATCACATACCTTGTCAAACTGTGAATAGTCTCATCTGGAATCAGATTCGCTGACGACTCATGACACATCATTCTCCAGTTGCAATAGACTCCCTCTTACTGCCTCCGCGAGCCTTAAAAGTATCTCACCAACCCGGATTCGAAAGGGCGATTCAACAACCTCAATTTCAATCGGTTCTGCTGATTTTGATTGAAAAAGATTGTTCAGCTCCGGCATAAGATACAAAAACGCCTCATGCAGGACTAAAAATTTGAACAACCTCTCCGGTGATCGAAGACTACTACTTATGACTTCTACAAAGTCAAATAATTGAACCATGGCATCTCTAACTATTTCAGTAAAACAGAAATCAACTACGACAGTTCCATGACTTTGAAAGATTTGCTCACAGAGTTGCTTTTCTTTGGGAAAGAAAATTCGAACACAAAACTTGGCTGCACGTATCCACTGCTTGATCTTCACCTCCAACACATCCCACACCAACCTCCAGACAGCTTGAATGCTCAATTTATCGATGCCAAGACGTTGAAAACACACGTCCACTGTACCCTTCCTTACTCTCCTGTAAACCTCAACGCACTTAACAGAGTCCATCCTTTCAGCAATACTCCGGAGATCATTGATTTCTTCTACAGATGGTACAATATCATAGTCTAAAAAATCATCTTTTGTGACGAACCTAAACTGATACCATTTTTTTAAAAAAAAAAAAAAAAATTTAAAAAAAAATTGGCATGACCTACCCTAAAAAGGGGTCTACAACTACCTGTTCAAATAAAAAAAACGCAATGGCCCTTCCTGACCTCTCAAGACATATTCAACCTGTCCCAACACACAATACAAATCATACATTCCAACATCCCATTCATCCGTTCATTATACCTCAACATGGTTCATTTCTGTAATGTTTGAGTTTTCTTATACATATATGTGTGTATGTGGTGTTAATTAGAAATAAAAGATAAAGGGAAAATAAAATAAAATAAAATAAATAAAACAAAATAGTGGGACCCACACCACCTAAAAAGGGGTTAGAGACCACCATTGTCTCTCATTTCTCTCACTCTTTCGCAGCTCTCTGTTTCCCTCTTGTTCTTCCTTTTTCTTTTTCTTTTTTTCTTTTACAAGCTTCAATCCAAGATCTCTCCCTCAATACTTAGAATTTTTAAGTGCCGTTTGCGGCAAATTGAAGACCACAACGAAATCTTTAAATTGATCGGAGTAATTTGGTGTTTGGTGCACTCTAGGAGAGTTGGGATCTAGGGCACAAAATTTAGGGGTTTTCTCCTCCTTTGAGGTAGGAGTGTTTAATCCACAATCTCTTAGATTTTGGTGAATTATTTTTCATAATTTGTATTTAATTTGTGTTATTTTTCATATTCGTTATGTGTTGTATATGAGATGTGTATATATACATGTTAGTTGTTATGTGATAAAGAACCATGTTAAATTGATGTTAAATTGCATACCTATTGTGCTTTAAAGTGCTAAATTTTTTTATTTTGGAAACATAATGTAAATTCCTAAAATTATTCCTATGAGTCATGTATATTGTAAATATTTGACTTGTAATAAATAAAAATTTCTTTATTCGTACGTCATTGAAATGCACAAGACATACATGCATTCATTGGGAAAGAATGGAAAAAATTGATTTGAAAGAAACGAAACGGATTTTGGGAAAGAATTTTGAAAAGGATTTTTGTGAAAAACCTAGCCGCCTAGGAGTTGCCTAGGGACCGCGGCATTAGTGAGGCCTAGAGGGGACTAGAGAGATTGCCCTAATGTGGTTGAGTTACTTGGGCCCCAAATGACGCCATGGAGTTGCCATGGGTCAAGGACAGTAGTCAATCCTCCTCTCGTGCCGCCATGGAGTTGCCATGGGACGGGTTCACTAACGGTTTGGAAATGATGATGAAAATGATTTTGGAAAATGGAGAGTGACATTGCATGGCGTGACATATCATTGCATGGCATATATATTTGTGGTATCGGATTAATGATGTGGTATTGTGGTTATATTTCTTTTCCCGGCATGATATGATCCCAATTTCTTCATTCCTATTCATGGTGTGGATTCACGGGGTCTCAAGAGGTGTGCTTTAGGCATTTCCTACTGAGCTTATGGTCACCCCTTCATTTTAACATTTTTCAGGAAACGGAAAAAAAGTTGCGGATGACATTCCACCACAAGCTTAAATTGGATTAGAAGACCTTTTGTTATTTTTGTATCTAAGTTCCACTATTTTTTTGTAGGACTTAGCATAATATATTTTGTACGAAGACTTATGAACTTTTAATATTTTAATTATCCCTATGGGCTTGTAAAGTATGGACATTTGATTTTAATTCTTGTATTTTGGGACTGTAATTATAATACCTGGAATATATAGTTTGTGGTTGTACCACCATGGAGTGTATTATATGGTATTTGTGTTGGGATAGGTTTAAAATGCTTTTAAATAGGTTGTTGTAGAACGATTTTTAGTGGAGATCATGCCAATTTTTTTTTTTTAATTTTGGCATCATTTAGGGTCGTTACAATTTCATAGTGGAACATCCACATACCATTTAATCCAAATTATCATAATTAGTCCCAAAATATATGGTTAAGATCTAAAGTACATGTCTTACAACGTTTGGACAACTTATACTAAAGTTACAGTCCATAATTATAATTACAATAACAAGGGTCTAAAAACCTCTATACCAAATATAACAAACTAAGATTTTACAAAATTATGAGACTTAGTAAAAAAAAAAAAAAAAAAAAAACCTTCTAAATCCAAATTAGGCCTGTGGTGGAACGTCATCCATCACTTCTTTCCCGTTTTTTGAAAAAAAAATTATTAAATAATAGAGTGAGCAATTTGCTCAGTAAGCGGTGCCTAAGACACACCTCTTGTGTCCCCGTGAATCCAAACAAAGAATAGAACAATAAGGGGCGGGGTCATGCTATGTCGAAAAAAACATATACAACATAATAATCAATTTCAACATACACAATGAGATGCTACGGAATGCGATGCATGCCGATGTCGCTCCCCATTTTCAACATCCAAATCCATCACTTTCAAACCGTTAATGTAACCCCCTTCGGTAACTCCTCAGCACTGAGAGAAGGATTAGCTACTGTCCCTGACCGTTGGTACCTCCGCAGCGTCATTTGGGGTCAGATAGCTCAACCACGCTAAGGCAATCTTCCTAGTTCCCCCTAGGTTACATTAACCTACCGGTCCTTTGGTGACTCTGCGGTGACTGGGTTTTTCATAAAACACTTTAATCAAAGCTTCTTTCCCAAAATTCCCCTTTTCATTTTCATTTCAAACACTTTCCTCTTTTTATTCATGTCCAATGTTGTGAAGTGCATGTCACATATTTCTCTAATAATATAAGCGTAAAGGAAATTCATACTACACAATTTAAAATCCACTTTCATAGCAACTTCTAGAAAATTAGTAGACACCGTGGGCATGTAAATTAACATCTAAGTATGCTTTTCACATAAATTCCTCAACACATATAAGCATATATGTCAATTACAACAATTATATCATTTTCAAGGCAATTTAATTCAAATAAAGCATGTTTTACGAGAAATTCTAAAAAAAATTTTATATATGCTTATATACATCATTTCTAGCAATTAGAAATACAAGAGGCATAAGAAATCAACACTTAAACATGCTTTTCACACAAATCAACATGTATATATAAAATCATGAATTTTATACATTACAACAAAATCATTCTAGGATAATTATCATCAATTAGACAAATAACAACAATTACATGAAATTAACTCACAAAGGAATAAGAATATGTGGGTTAGAGACCCCCCTATCTCAATCTAAGCCAAAAACCCCAATTTTCACCTCAAACCCTAAAAATGGGTCTCAATTTTCGGACTTTCTACAGTGGCCAAAAACTAAAATTGCTGGTATGGATTTAAAGGTCTCGTTGTGAGCTTCATTTTGCCGCAAACGGCACTCAAAAATTTCAAAGGATGAAGGAGAAATCTTGGATTGAAGTTGTAGAAGAAAAAAAGATAATTTTTTTTTTTTTTTCCTTTCCAGCGAGAGAGGCTGGTGAATCTGCCAAATGGTGATGGCTTAGCCATTACCTTTATTATAATGCATGTGGGTCCCACCATTTTTTTTTTTCCTTTTTCTTTTTACACCACACAATTACATATATACACATACACACATAATAATAATTTACAACCACATAAAATACATTAAATAAAATGCCTGAAATGCTAACGGACCCGATAAAAATCCCCATATGCAAAAATTCCAATAGCGGGTCCCACACGGGACCATCCGGCTTGAAAAACAAAAAAAAAAATACAAAAATGATAAATCCTGAATTTCAAAGAGTACTGAACTCAATGAAATGTCTTAAACAGCTCACGGACACAACTGGCACACTTTAGAGTATCTGGCATGTAAAACGGTAAAAGACGAAAATGCCCTTGCAACTATAAAAATTCCGAAAAAATGAAAAATAGCAAAAATTGAAAACATCACAATCTACCCTCCTTAAAGAGATTTCATCCTCGAAATCTACCCTCCTTAAAGAAAGAGGCTCACAGCCACACACCTCGCCGAGGAACCTCACACAACCTTGAGATAAGAACTGAACAACCATGTTGCCTTTAACACAGGCACCAATAGGCAATCACACTCTTCCGCCAGAAAGCCCAATGATCATTACCCTATGAGGGTACTCATTACTCACAAGACTTGAAAGAAAAATGGTCACAAGACCCCTGAACATGACAACATGCTATCACAACTCATCCTTCAAAAGACACACTGTACCCCAAACAAAGGACCCCGTCCATCACACAATCAAACCCAAACTCAGATCTACACATCTCTGTCCAACCAATACTCGTCATCCAACTCATAGCTACACCATCACACAATCATACAACAACCATAGATCGCACCAACAAGTAATTATTACACTGATCAACCTCAAGATAACTAAATAATGAATCCCCCAACAACTATACAATCAAGAGTCACCAAACCACTAAAGTGTACCATCCTGTGCCCAAGACTCAAATCCTCAAAATAAGATCTTTAAAAATCAAGCGGATTAGACACTTGGTCCTACCTAACACACCTCGTCACCCGAAACAACTTCCTAAATCCACACGCTTGCACTGTCACAACACCCAATACCATACTTTCACTATTTATGACAACTTGAAACAATCATTGACCTTTGACCTGACATCGTGTTAAAGGGGAATGATTCAGGAGAAATGGTTGGCCAGGCCACTCTTATCATCAATCCAATCTCAACATAGATGTCATTCCTGTCCTCAGGTCCAAACCTCAAACACGGTCTTACACAATCCACAAAACAACTATAAGATCCACTCACTATCCACCCATTGTTATACATAACCTCAATAACTATATAATCATATAACAGCTCTAAGAATCTCAATCATGCCTTAATCACACAATCACAACAACTAAAAGCGACACGACACCAAATGTCATAATCAACCAATCAGCACTAAAGATCCCTAATTTCCTCATAACATCCATACCAGGTAAACAACTCCGTGACATCTTTCAGTTCAATTCTTACTTCTCCAAAACACATAATACAGCTGTCTCATTCCTGAAACCTCAAAACCAAAGTCAATCATTCCTATTATTCCTCAATAGAATCATACATTCACTTTCTCTAATCACAAAATTCTAAAACAACATCGACACTTATCCTCAAGACACTGCACGAATTAAACGCCTATAAAAACATTCAAGTACATGACTCATATCCCATCACTTAATCATCTTTAAACTACAGTTCACAACACATTTCCTAGCCGTCACCTTTAGTACTAAACATCGGAAACACAACCCCTATTCGGTAACCCGTGCCTCGCATCCTACCAGTCAAACCACTCTCAAAACAAAACTCAAGACTCCACCTCCCTCCATAGGAGTGAGTCGACCTATACAACCAACCTTACCGGTGAACTCTGACAACATAACTAACTACACACAGGCCCGTCCATCCACGGACGCGCATAACTCCTAAACGAAGAACAAGACTCATAACAAACGACGCCCTTGCCAGGACTAGAACAAATGGAAAGGCTAATGAACCCCACTCTCACAAGAGATCAACAACTCGCACCTGAATGAACCAAACACCCTGCCACACACTACTCACCAATCGTCCAACCATGGACACCCATTCTCACTTGAGATGAAATAAACTTCCTACGCACCAGAAGGAGAACCAACTAGAAACATATACGAGACTACGACTTCCATTCTAGGAGACCTCGCCACTAACGGATCGTTACACACTATCAACACAAAACCTTGCACATACTTCTCCGCAACACTATGCTAACCGAAATAAATCAGATAAAAGTAGCAACGCCCTCGACATACAAATACTAGGAACCATCACTGTACATTAGACACTGTATCCCATCCTACCCAATAATCTCTCAATGAGAAACTCTATGAAATATAACGATACCTGATCACCTGTTCTACCTCTACCCTTTGAAGGCGACACTACGTCAATCACTGTGCACACTAAACCCGTGACCTCCGTCACAACAACCCACTGACTCTTTAAAAGAAAAAAGGTGCTTATCCGTTAACACCGCTCTCACTGGTTTTAAAGATTAAACTATCCACAATCGTCTCAACTGGCGCACAATCCCATCACATACCTGTCAACACACAACAACACGCATAATTCCTAAACCACATTCGGATCATACCTCAAACCATTATACTTATCAGCACCAAACATCACACCATGACACCATAACACCTCCACTGTCACTCATTCCAATAACCTTTCAACCCTATTATCCCATCAGACCATCAAATCACTACCAAAGGATTTTTTTTTTCCCTCGAACATCTTCAAGATAATATCATTGTAACAAAAGAACGAGCATAACTCTCGCTACTCCCCATAACAACCACTATTTACCACTAGAAAAGAACATCCATACGACAATGCTATGCCAACAAATTCTCAAACAAAAATGAGCACAAAAATCCAGATTACTCAACACCCAACTATTCCCTTAAAACCGCCAACGATGAAGTCAATCACTACTTCCTTCCCAAATATTGAGGTCACCCCTAAACTGACTTACTTTCCAATACGGTAACATCAAGTACTAATACCCCCCATGATCATCCTTCCCAAAATAACTACACAAACTCCAATCCCTTAGAAACAACAAGCCTCCACTACCAACCGCTCATTCAAAAGTGATGCTAACTCGACATGAAAACACACATCACTCATGATACCCTACACCATAGTCAACAATCCTCTACAAGAAAATAAAAATCCTACACGGCAATGCTACAGGAACAATCCCTAAAAGGGACAGCAAACACCACGCCCAAACGATCAACCACATAAACTACACTCTACGACAACTATAAAGCAATGGTCCCTCATTGGTATCTAACTGGACACTTAAGTCATACCTACAACTAACCTATCCGACCAAACAAAAGGGTATACAACTCTTACACCCCCAATACTATCATTTCCCAATCAATCGCTACGATTACCATCCAACACAATGGAATATCCACATCGATTTCATCTGAGTTGTGTGCCCGCAGCTCGCCCAATGTGGTAGCTTTCTGGTGCCACCTGCACACGCTCACGTACACCTGCCCACAAGGCCACAAAACAAAGAAATCAAATAGAACAAGCCACCAAGCCCAAAAGGTCACTCCTCATCCTAGCTCAAC